ACCAGGGTTTAAGGGTGCTTAGGCTTCATAGGGTCTGCGATGTAGCAATTTAGGGTTCAGCGTGTTTTGTGGATTTGTTGCATGTTTTATAGGGTTTGGGGCTAGGGTTCAGGAATGCAAGCTCGTTCCCCCGAGCTTGTCCTTAGGAAGGGTTCCCCTAATATCCTTCACATATGGCCCCCGAATACAGAGTATTCCTTCACTTCATTCAGGGGATCTCCTGACGCCGAATGGCTCATTGACTCCTTGTGACACGGGCCGTTGCAAGTGTCCCCCCCCACGTGGTTGATTTAACTTTGTTGAAGAACCTCAGGAGGTCAAAACATAGAGTCCCAAGACTTTGGTGATGAAGGTGTTGAGGGTTTAGGGTTCCACTATAAGGGTTTACCCAAACCCTAAACCCCAAACCCATACAGGTTTTTGGGGCTTACAGAGGTTTAGGACTTGGGCAGGTATCTTCAAGAAACCTGGTGGCATGTATGATGATTCTGGGGTGCCTTTAGGGGGTGTAGGGCAGGTTTAGGGTTTAGGGTTTGAATGGAAGCAAAAAACATATGTCGGTCTGAGGGTCTAAACAGGCGCCCCCACGTCACCATAAGCCCTAAACCTCCCCCCCCTAAAGCGTAGAACATCAGAATTGCGGGTCTAGGTAGCCCTTAAAGCCCAAACTGCAGTTTCAATACCCTCCAGCCCCCCCCCCCCCCCCCCCCCCCCCCCCCCCCACCCCAATGGCAGTCATCATGCGGACTAGTAGACAGTCAACACACATAATCAAACACCAACTCACAAACCCCCTAGACCCTACACCCCAAACCCCAAAACCGTAAACCCCTAACCCGTAATCCCCCTAAACCTTAAACCCTAAATCCCTGTCCCCAAACCCCTAAACCCCCAAAGCCCCTAAACCCCAAGCCCTGAACCCCGAACTCCAAACCCTAAGCCCCCAAAACCCCTAAACCCAAAACCCTAAACCCTAAGCCCGAACCCCGAACTCCAAACCCTAAACCCTAAACCCTAAACCCTAAGCCCTAAGCCCTAAACCCTAAACCCTAAACCCTAAACCCTAAACCCTAAACCCTAAACCCTAAACCCTAAACCCTAAACCCTAAACCCTAAACCCTAACTCTAAGCCCCCCAAAACGCTAAGGTGCCGCTTCTCGGCTCCCCTCCGAGCCAACTCGACTTCCAGCGCATGAGGGGGCCGTGAAGCTGAGTGGGTGGGCTTAGGGTTTAGGGTTTAGGGTTTAGGGTTTAGGTTTAGGGTTTAGGGTTTAGGGTTTAGGGTTTAGGGTTTAGGGTTTAGGGTTTAGGGTTTAGGGTTTAGGGTTTAGGGTTTAGGGTTTAGGGTTTAGGGTTTAGGGTTGCGGAAGGATTGGGTCAGACAGGGTTCAGGGTTTAGGGTTCAGGGATCAGGGTTTAGGGTTCAGGGCAAAGGTTTGGGGTTTAGGGTGCAGGGTTTAGGATTTGGGGAATTTTGGGGGTTTGGGATTCTAGGATTTAGGTCTATAGGTTGTGGGTTTCACTGCAGGGATTTAGGGAGGTATAGGGTTCAGGGCTTGTAGAGAGTTTTGGGCTGTGGGTTTACAAAGCTTCGAGGAGTTTATAGGCCGTGTAGGACTTGTGTGGTTGAGGGTGTAGAGTCCGGTTGATCAAAAGAAGTGGGGTCCCTAGGACCCTTAGCCTCAGTCCTACGGCTTCTGCTACTGCTACTATGCTCTCTCTCTCTCTCTCTCTCTCTCTCGCTCTCTCCTCTCTCTCTCTCTCTCTTTCTCTCGCTCGCTCTCGCTCTTTCTATCTATATGTGTGTATATATATGTCCCTAAACAACACACAAAAAAAAAAAAAACGGTACAACCACCCTAACCTTAGAACCTAAACCCTTAAACCCCGAACCCCACAAACCCAAGCCCTAAGCACCAAACCTAACCCATCAACCCTCAACCCTCAAGCGATACGATACCCTCAACCCCTCAAACCCAAACCCTAAACCCTAAACCCGAAACCCTGAACCCTCAACCCTCAACTCGCAAGCTTACCCTCGCTTCGCATCCTTGAAGGCCCAACCCTTCCTTGGACCTCGCTGTTTGCAGGACCTCGGTTTGAGGGTTTAGGGTTCAGGGAGGGGGGCTGAGGCGGGGGGGGAGAGTTGTGGTGGGTGTTTAGGGCTTTGAGGGCTTTTGGAATTCAGGGCTCTGGGTCTAGGAGGTTTAGGGTTTAGGGTTTAGGGTTAATGAGGAATTCAAAGAGTTGGGGGCCAGGCCGGCATACAGCAGACGGCCACCACCCATGTGGGTGTTTAGGGTTTCGGGTTTAGGGTTCAGGGTTCCCACTCCTTCTGTCAAGTGCATAGGCAAGAACACCTCAGGGTTGAGGCTTTAGCGTCCCTAGAGTTCCCAGTTTATTGTTTAGGGTTTCCGGGCCAAGCCTGGACACCCGAAACCCCTAAACCCTAAACCCTAAACACTACACCCTAAACCCTAAACCCGAAACCCTAAACCCTAAACCCTAAGCCCTAAGCCCTAAACCCTAAACCCTCAACCCTAAACCCCGCACCGAAGCCCTAAAGCCTAAGCTCTATAGGGCTCATACAGTCTATTGGTTAGTGTTTCGCGCCAGGGTTTTGAGGTCTTAGGGTTTGAGGGTTTAGGGCTTGGGGCCTTCGACCCTAATTAAACATGCTAGGAAGAACCTTACCCTAAATCCGAAACCAATTGGGATGTTTTCGTTGCACTTCTTGAACCCAGGCGAAATTGCAGGGACAGCTTCGCACCAAGGGCCCTAATCCCTACGCCAAGCTCCCTGCGGCTCCGACACCAGACTTTAAGGTTAAGGGGTTTTGGGGTGTAGGAAATCAGGGTTTAGGGTTAGAAGGTCTAGGACAGGGTTGTGGATGTCGGGTTTTCGGCTTAGGCTTAGGGAATTTGTGTTTTGCTCGCACACCCTAAACCCTAAACCCTAAACCCTAAAGCCTAAAGCCTAAACCCTAAACCCTAAGCCCTAAACCCTAAACCCTAAACCCTAAACCCTAAACCCTAAACCCTAAACCCTAAACCCTAAACCCTAAACCCTAAACCCTAAACCCTAAACCCTAAACCCTAAAACATAAACCCTAAACCCTAAACCCTAAACCCTAAACCCTAAACCCTAAACCCTAAACCCTAAACCCTAAACCCTAAACCCTAAACCCTAAACCCTGACCTGCCAGGAGATTCTTCCATGAAGATGAGATCGCCTCCGCTTACGATCTGGCGCAGGACTGGAGGTCTGATCCAACCCTAAACCCTAAACCCTAAACCCTAAACCCTAAACCCTAAACCCTAAACCCTAAGCCCTAAGCCCTAAACCCTAAACCCTGAAGCCGAAATAGACCTTTTCAACCCTACTACATGGGCACTGCGTGCTTCGACCAATGAAGCCCTCGCAGCTCCCCTCGTAGCCCGCAAGCCAAAACCCTCAACCTTGTAGATCCTAAGCTGGAATGTTCCCCCTTATACTAGCAGTCCTTCATAGGGATTAATAATCGGGGGGTACTACAATCCCTAGTAAGGACTGTTAGTATAAGGGGGAACATCCCAAATCCTAAGCATACTGTTTTTCAAAGCCGAATGATCAGAACATTCTTGATGCCGATGTTGTCCCCAAGACGAGAAGCCACGCTCGCTAGCTTGAAGTTGTCACGACCCCTGCTCGCTAGCCTTCTAAGGGTTTAGGCTTGTAGTCAGAGTTTAGGTATCCCCGGTATCCCCCTAATTCCTAAACCCTAATCCCTAAACTCTAAACCCTAAACCCTAAACCCTAAACCCTAAACCCTAAACCCTAAACCCTAAACCCTTCCTTTTGTCTGCCCTTCCGGGTCCCTCCGAATAGTGAGCTGGCGCCGGAAAGCAGAGCAGAGAAGAGAGTTGGGCTTTTCCGCCCCTTATACTAGCAGTCCTTAAAAAAAGGGTTTATGGGGCTTATGGGGTTTATAGGGTTTATATGGTTTACAGGGTTTATAGGGTTTATTTGGGGTTTTGGGGCTTATGGCTATGGGGTTTATAGGGTTTACAGGGTTTATAGGGTTTATTTGGGGTGTATAGGGCTTTAAGTCCTTAAAAAGGGACTCTAGTACCCCCTCTACTAGAATCCCTCTTGAGGACTGGTTAGTATTAGGGGGCTAACATCCCTTAAGAAGAGATGCACATGGAGGCGGAGGCTCCACGAAGTGCTCCCAAAATTCACATTGTGTTGCGTGAGAAGTTGTTAGGGTTTCCAGGGTCCAGGGTTTAGGGTTTAGGGTTAACACCTGACCGCAACAACAACAACAACAACAACAACAACAACAACAACAACAACAACAACAACAACAACAACAACAACCGCCGCGCCAGAAGCTGTTGGAGCTAGCCTCAGGCTCGCATTCCCCAAGCAGTGTGCGAAGGTGGAGAGAGGAAGCCCTCAACCCTTAACCCCCCCCCCCCCCCCCGGGATGTAGGGCTGAGGTCAGCATTGCTGGAGTGTTACCGACTTACCCTAAACCCTAAACCCTAAACCCTAAACCCTGATATCGAAACCTGCGCAAGGACGGCGAAGCCTGGGCCATTGATGACCGGGATGAGGATCTGGGCTACGACGCTCCGACACGTCTGCCAAGGGAGGTTGCTAAACCTCTAAAACCCTAAACCCTAAACCGTAAACCCTACACCCTACACCCTACACCCTAAACCCTAAACCCTAAACCCTAAACCCGAAAAACCCTAAAAACCCTAAACCCTAAACCCTAAACCCTAAACCCTAAACCCTAAACCCTAAACCCTAAACCCTAAACCCTAAACCCTAAACCCTAAACCCTAAACCCTAAACCCTAACCCTAAACCCTAAACCTCTAACCGTTGAAACACCCCCGGATTATGGACTCCTCCCTAATTAATCTGGGAGCATTGTCTGGCGGCTCCCAGGCCGTTGGTTCCACCGGCCATCATCACCATCATCCACGTGCTGCGCCAAACGCAACGCTGTGCTTGCCTGTGTGACAGATTATTCCATGTCTTCCGAGCCGCTGTTGGGGCCCCTGGAGTGCAGCCCCAGCGCCAAAACTATATAGCCTTGCGTCGGCCTTGCCAGTGAAATTTAAATATGTCAGTGGGCTGCGAGTATTCCGTGATCGCTGTTTCGAGTTGTAGCCTTGCCTCGGCTCAGGCCAGATGGAGGGGCCTTGCCAGGAGAGTCTAAGCCCCAAACCCTACACCCTGAACCTAAAGGGTCCATGTGGAGGTTTCCGAAACTTGGGGGGTACCTTATTGGGGTCCTTTTCTTCTGAGGGGGGGTCCCTTATTGCTGTAAACTCCACTGCTCCTATACAGCAGATTCTTGGGCTTGAGACGGGTTCCTACAGCTTCAGGGCCCAAGTATCCACCCCAAAGGGTACATGGACCTTTTCGTTTAGGGTTTAGGGTTTAGGGTTTAGGGTTTAGGGTTTAGGGTTTAGGGTTTAGGGTTTAGGGTTTCCCCTAAGCCCTCAACCCTAAACCCTAAACCCTAAATCACCGGATAGGCCAGCGTTCATTAGATACCCTGAAACCCCCGCAGTTACACATGCACCCCTTAGGGGATTTCAGAGCTGCACCACACAAGTGGACCCTCTTGGTGCACACCAGGGGAGCCCATAGCCTTGAAGTCCAGGGTTTAGGGTTTAGGGTTTAGGGTTTAGGGCCTTTAGGGTTTCGGGCCTTTAGGGTTTAGGGCCTTTAGGGTTTCGGGCCTTTAGGGTTTAGGGCCTTTAGGGTTTAGGGCCTTTAGGGTTAGGGTTTAGGGTTTAGGGTTTAGGCTTCAGGCTTTAGGCTTTAGGGTTTAGGGTTTAGGGTTTAGGGTTTAGGGTTTCGGGAGCCCCCTCCTCCCATGCCCTGCTTAAGGGGTTGGCGTCGGGGCGGTTTTCCGGCTTGAGGATTGCTTTTGCAAGCAACACGTAGCGTCAACCACATGGGGTTTACGAAGATAGGGGGGGGGGGCCCTTTAGAAAAGACCCCCAAATACTAGGATTCGCTCCCCAAAAAGGTGCCCCCATGTTCGGGACCCTCCCCCCATATTCTCAGTCTTGATCCTAGGTCCTAGGACCCCGTGAGCTCTGCGCCTCCAGAAAAGAAAGTCTCTTTCCGGGATGCCAGGCACACGAGGTGTGGCGGATCGAGGACCGAAACCTTTGACTCAGGTTTTTTCAGGGTTTAGGGTTTAGGGGTTTAGGGTTGAGTTTAGGCTTTAGTGCTCAGGGCGTTCAGGGCTTAGGGGTCTAGGGGGTTAGGGGCTTAGGTTCCAAGAGCTTCTGTGTTGAAGTGCAAGGCTTGATGTAAGGTTTGGAGTTCGGAAGCCAAACCCAAGCATCCTCTATCACACCTCATAAGTTTGCCTCAAGGGCCCTCAAACCCCCTACTCATATTCGGGGGACGGGGAGAAAGCTCCGACTATCCTCTTCAAGGTTCTTAGGTGTCAGGGTTGTCTGCCCCGTGCAGGCCGTTGGTTTGGGGTTTGGGGTTTGGGGTTTGGGTTTAAGGTGCAGAGGATTGGGTCAACTGTGGGGATGTCTGCAAAAACCTAATTAAACCCTAAACTCTAAACCCTATACCCTATACCCTATACCCTAAACCCAAGCACAGAGCCGGCAACATCAAGAGTCTGCCTTCAGAGGTATGTCTACAACCCCTGAACCCGACACCCTGATAGAAACAGCCACAGCCTGTGATGCTGCTGTGGGCCACAAGTGAGCTGGATGAACTTCTGCGCTAACTTGTCAACCCGTAGACCCTTACAACCCAACTTTATCCTCTCAGAATATCGTGCATTTTTCAGTTCATGTACGACATGCAATATATGCAATACGTTTTTGGGTGTTTTTCTCATCAGAGTCTTTCATGAAGGTTTCATCTTTGAAAACCCACTATTAAATTACGGGCAAGTTCACGCGCGCCGTAGTTGGCTTTATCAAGAGTGAAAGACCGAGTGAGCGCAGTGAACTAGTAAGCGATATGGAAGAAGTAAGTAAGGAAGAGGACACTCCTAATAATGCTAAAAGCCCCACTCATGCGTTCCTTACAATACGGGCTGTGAATAGTATTATTGAGCGGGTTCGTTCTCTAGTTCACTCACCACGCTATTCCATGAAGAGACCCTAAACCCTAAACCCTAAACCCTAAACCCTAAACCCTACACCCTACACCCTAAACCCTAAACCCTAAACCCTAAACCGGCAGGCTAGGGCAGCCCTAAACCCTAGACCCTAAACCCTAAACCCCTCAACCCCTCAACCCCTCAACCCCTAAACCCTAAACCCCTCAACCCTAAACCAAGCCTAGGGAAGAAGGGAACTCCTCTGCGCTCTTCATGCAGGAAGTGCTGCAGCGGCGAGCGCCGGGGCTCTTTGAGAAGCTGATCCACTCGGCCTGGTCGGTGGAAAAGAGGCCGCGGGTTTAGGGGTTTAGGGTTTGGGGTTTTCGTTTTAGCACCCTAAACCCGAAACCCTAAACCCTAACCCCTAACCCCTAAACCCTAAACCCTAAACCCTGTTGATGGTTTGGGGGTTTAGGGTTTCGGGTGTTGGGTTTTGGCTTTAGAGTGTAGGATTTTGGGGTTTTGGTTTAGGGTTTTGGCTTTAGGGTCTACGGTTTTTGGGTTTTGGGGTTTAGGGTTTCGGGCCTAGGGTTTCGTGTTTAGGGTTGAGAGCTCTCTTGGGTGTGGGCTTAGTAGGGTTGTTCAGGGGTTAGGGTGCGGGGTTTATAGAAATTGTATAGTGTTCAGGTCCGGAGTTTTGAGCGAAAGTTTTGACCGAAAGTTTTGAGCGAGTTTTTTTGCCTTGGACTGGGGCTGGGGCGGGCTAGGCTGGGGCTGGGGCTGGGGGAGGGGGGGGTGAGCCAAATTCTGAATAGTACAACCACTCTGTTTGAGTTTCCTTCAGCTCTGCTTGTCAGCTGTTTAGACAAATAGCTTGGAACTTTAAGTGAATTGAATGTTTGGGCTTCCGAGGGCGCTTTGAGTTCATTTCCTTAAGCTCGGCGTATCAGCTGCTTAGACAAATAACATGGGACACTCATGATGATACCACATACAATTTCTATTTATCCTGGTCTTGAGGGTTTAGGGTTTAGGGTTTAGGGTTTAGGGTTTAGGGTTTAGGGTTTAGGGTTTAGGGCCTCACTGTTAGTCAGGGTTTTTGGTTGTGTGTTATTTGGCGTTAACCCAGACTACTATGTACGAAGGACCTCTACGTGTCATTTCACACGTGCTGGGCGGCTATCTTCATTTTACGTTCATTGTTTTTTGTTAAGAATGTAAGCATTGAGTTCTGGATATGGCTTGTTTTTTTTCAGAGTCCTGTTCTCATGCCCCTTATCTTGTAAGGGTCTAAACCCGGCAACCCTAAAACCCTAAAACCCTAAAACCCTAAAACCCTAAAACCCTAAAACCCTAAAACCCTAAAACCCTAAAACCCTAAAACCCTAAAACCCTAAAACCCTAAAACCCTAAAACCATAAAACCCTAAAACCCTAAAACCCTAAAACCCTAAAACCCTAAAACCCTAAAACCCTAAAACCCTAAAACCCTAAAACCCTAAAACCCTACAACCCTAAACCCTAAAACCCTAAACCCTAAAACCCTAAAAACCAAACAACCTATATCATCCCTAGAGCCCTAAAACCCTCCAACCCCTCAGGGGTTTAGGGTTAGGGCTTGCAAGGGGGTTTGGGGAGGGCCTGGAAGGGCCTAAACAAGCCCTAATCCCTAAAGACATGTGTGTTGTGTGTGTGGCAAACTCCAAACCTTACACCCCAAACCCTAAGCCCTAAACCCTAAACCCTAAGCCCTAAGCCCTAAGCCCTAAGCCCTAAACCCCAAACCCTAAACCCTAAACCCTAAACCCTAAACCCAAACCCCACAATACCGATGTGCAGGATGTGGGGAAACATCCTCGATTTCGTCTTCCCTGAAATCGAGTGCGCCGAGCCCCCCACACCCCCGCCTGGCACCACAGCCTCTGAGAAGCTTCAGGTTGCTTGGAGTTAGGGTTTAGGGTTTAGGGTTTAGGGTTTAGGGTTTATGGTTAGTGCTCAGGGTGTAGGGTTGAAGGTCTCTGAACCCCATGAACCCTGAACCCTCAACAAATATCAATCCATCCTAGACCCTGAAGCCTATTCCCTTCACGGCCTAACAAGCCTTCAGAATCAGTGTGTACTTCAAAACCTGGGAAGCGTGTGTTTAGGGTGTAGGGTTTAGGGTTTAGGGTTTGTAGGGCTTAGGGTTGACTTCTTCAGCAGTGTCACTTCTTTCGTCTCAGGTGGGTCCAGGGGTCTTTCACACCAGCGATGATTGCTGGCATGGGCCTGCAGGTGGGAAACAATCTGGATGCTCGAAAGAGCCTTGGAGAGTCTCCACACATACTCATGCCAAAAACGGGTTTAGGGTTTAGGGTTTAGGGTCTAGGGTTTAGGGTTTAGGGTTTGTTCCAGTCCGTGAGGAGTCATGAGTGGGGCCCGACATCTCCTAAGGTGCGGCGTACATGCGACGCTAAACTCTAAACAGCCTACACCCAAGTCCTGGTGTCAGGCTTTCAGTCCCAATCCCTACACCCTAAACCCTAAACCCTAAACCCTAAACGCTAAACCCTAAACCCTAAACCCTAAACCCTTGAGAGGTACATCGAGTACGACGTGAAGAATCTGGGGCGGCCTGGGTCCATCGCACGTCACACGGACAACGATAGCTTGATCACCATGGTGGCGCCTCGGTGTTTCCCGGTGAAGAGCGTGCCTTACTTGGGGGTTTAGGGTTTGGGGTTTAGGGTTTGGGGTTTAGGGTTTAGGGTTTAGGGTTTAGGGTTCAGGCTTTAGGTTGCCATAACCGCCCCCTGAGTCCGACTGGTTCAGGGCTTTACGGCTTACAGGGCTTAGCCCTGAAACCTAAGCCCCAAACCCTACATCTCAAAAACTTCGTTCTCGACGAGGGTTGAGGGTTGAGGGTTGAAGGTTCAGGGATTCCTAAATCGGCCCGAAACCCCTCAGTCCGAGCGTTCGTTGACACAAAGCCTGCTGAGGCCTTAGGACGTAGGTAGGGTTTACCTTAAGCCTTAGACCCTAAACCCGAAGCCGTAAGCCCCAAACGCAAAACCCTGAAGCCCCACCCTAAGCCTGAAATTGCTTCCAGGCTTTCAAGGGCAGGAACTGCGACTCTGGTGATCCCGAGGGATTGAGGGTTTTTTGGGTTTGAGGGTTTGAGGGTTTGAGGGTTTGAGGAATTTTTGGGTTTGAGGGTTCGAGGGTTTGAGGGTTCGTGTGTGCAGTTTGTCGTAGTCAGATGACAGGTTTCAGCCCCATGGACTTTGGCCCAGGGTGTAATTTGAGTTGGTTTCTGGAAAGGACCCTCTTGCAATTGTTTCAGATAGGCGGTGGCACCTACCCTAAGCCCCAAACCCTGAACCCTAAACCCTGGGCCCGAAAGACAGGTCGAATTTCAGCCGACTTCGAACCCACATTCCCGCCCCTCCCCCCGCCCCAAACTCCCCAAGAACAACAGCAGGCCCGCATTCCTTTCTTGAAGTGCTTGGGGTTTACTTAGGGTTTAGGGTTTAGGGTTTAGGGTTTAGGGTTTAGGGTTTAGGGTTTAGGGTTACAAGCCCCTTTCAGCCAAACAGGGCACCCATCTTGTTCCTGCGCTACTCTTGGGTCTAGGCTCCTCAACGCCTCCTAAATCCACCTCAGCCATCAAAGCAAACCAGAGAAGTTCAGGGTTTTGGGGTATTTTAGGGTTTTAGGAGTTTTAGGCTTGATAGTTGATAGGGTGTAGCACTGAAGTAAAAGTAGGTGTTCCCTTTTTGGTAAAGGTTCCTCTTTCTAAGGACTCCTTCCCCCCAACAGGTCCATCCCTCTGAAAGGGCCTTTAGAATACCCCCCCCCCCCCGGCCCACAAAAGAAAAAAACAAAACAAACACAAAATGACAGAAACACAAATACACACACACACACACACACACAGCAACAACTCTAATCTCTACACCCTAGCCCTAAACCCCTGTTAAATGTGAAACGCCATAGAGGACGCCAACGCCTTGCAAGGTGCTTCTATCCGAGGCTGATGCCTTCGAGGGCGGAATCAACTGCCGCTGCACCGAAGATTCAGGAAACTAAGGCTTGGGAAGGTTTAGGGTTTAGGGTTTAGGATTCAGGGTTTAGGGTTTAGGGTTTGGGGTTTAGGGCTTGGGGTTTGGGCTTTGGGTTTTGGGTTTTGGGTTTAAGGTTTTGGGGTTTTAGGGTTTTGGGGTTAGGGCTGAACCGCTAGACCCCTTGGACCGAACCCTGAAACGAACAAAAGCCCGGTATCCCTAGACACAACGGAGAACAGACACTATCCATAATCCGGAAGACGACGCTGTTACTGGTTTCTGTGACGCAGGCATGAAATTAAGCAAAAACCTGTCTCCGACCTGAACCCCACCCCCAAACCTCCAAAATGGCGCACAGAGCAACCACCATACTTGGGGGTTTCCGAAAATAGGGGTACCCTTGTTGGGCATCCCTTTAAAGGGGTACCCCCTGTTTTGGGAAACCGCCATTAGAGGCTTCATTGAATCCTAAACCCTAGACCCTAAACCCTAAACTCTAAACCCTAAACCCTCAACGCTAAACCCTAATCCCCAAACCCTAAACCTTAAACCCTAAACCCTAGACCCTAGACCCTAGACCCTAGACCCTAGACCCTAAACCCTAAACCCTAAACCCTAAACCCTAAACCCTAAACCCTAAACCCTAAACCCTAACCCTAAACCCTAAACCCTAAACCCAAACCCTAAACCCGAAACCCGAAACCCTAAACCCTAAACCCTAACCCTAAACCCTAAACCCTAAACCCTAAACCCCAATAGGATCATCAAGGACGTTGCGAAGTGTTCTGTTGTCCGATGTGGTGCCACTTAGGCTTCCAGGGCGCTGCGGAGGAGCGCCAGGCTTGGGGTTTAGGGTGTAGGGTTTAGGGTTTAGGGTTTAGGGTTTAGGGTTTGGGGGTTAGGGGTTAGGGGTTAGGGGTTTGTGGTTTAGGGTTTAGGGTTTAGGGTGTCGGGTTTAGGGTTTAGCATGTACTGGCTTGAGGGGTGTTAGGGGCATGTAGGGGCTAAAGGGGTGTCAGGGACTTTAGGGTTTTTTTCGGGCTTGGGAGGTGTTAGGGGTATGCAAGGTGTCAGGGGTTCAGCTTTTACGGTCTTGGGGTAGGGGCTTATAGGGGTTTAGGGAATGGTGGCGTCATGTGCCATTCTCTCCATTATACTCTTTATTGCGCACTGTTCGAAGGTTGGAACCATGGCCCCTTAGGATGGCCCCGTACCCTTGTTTAGCTATATAGCAAGGGACCCAATGTAAGGGCCCATACTTGGAACCCTCGAGCTGCACGCGCAGATGTTTTGAGGTTTCGTTCGGGTCTAGGGCTTGGGGAGGCTTTAGGAAGCTTGAGCTTTTACACGCTCATTTCTCTCCCAGAGACCCGACACCCCTGAACCCTAAAGCCTAAACCTAGACCCGAAACCCGAAACCCGAAACCCAAACCCTAAACCCTAAACCCTAAACCCCTAACCCTAAACCCTAAACCCTTTGGGACCGCAGGATTCCTTGATCTGTCAGCATGCCTCCTAAGTCCCCCAAAGTCCCAACATAAGCCTCAAAGAAGCCCTGTGCAGGGTTTAGGGTTTGGGTTTGGGGTTTCGGGTTTAGGGTTTAGGGTTCAGGGTTTGGGGTCTGGGGTCTGGGGTTTGGCGTTTGGGATTTGGGGTTGCGTGTCTGAACCCTAAGTTCTGGCGTTCCCGGCCAGCGCCTATAGAATCCTCAACTCCCTAAACCCTAAATCCTAAACCCTATAAACCCTAAACCCCAAGTCCTAAACGCTAAATCCTAAGCCCTCAACCCTAAACCCTAAACCCTAAACCCTAAACCCCTAACCCTAAACCCTAAACCCTAAATGTCAGGTGCGCCTCCAAAGAGGGGACGCCGTGTTCTTCTTCGGCCTCTTCGGCGGCACCCTGGGGTTCTATAGGCATCAGGCACCCCCCCCCCCCAGTGGGTTGTTTAGGGTTTGTTTAGGGTTTCGGGTTCCGGGTTTAGGGTTTAGGGTTTAGGGTTAAGGGCTCGGGTCTAGTTTTTAGGGTTTAGGGCTACAAGGGGTGTTTATAGGATTGCTTGCTTCTGGATTGCGCCCCCTACATCACCAAGATGCCTCTGTCCCATATGATGGGGAACTACCCCAAGAAACTTGTAAACGCCTCCCTACAAAACGCTGTCCCTCGTTTATTCCAAAGTTACTCTGGGGGGGGGGGGGGGGGGGTGGAGTTCTTCATAGTAGGCAAGTAGGGGGGGGTCCCTGAAAGGGTTTTTTTGAGTAACATGAAGCGTGTTTCTTTGGAGGAGGCGGGGGGGGGGGGGGGTGTCTCTACCAAAGTCATCAGGTTTGGGGGAACCTAAACCCTAAACCCTAAACCCTAAACCCTAAACCCTAAACCCTAAACGGGTGTTAGGTTTTTCAGGTTTAAGGCTTAGGGTTCGAGGTCCAGGCTTTGGCTTCAGAGTGAGGGTCTTTTGTGTTTCGGGCTTACTGCTTAGGGTATAGCTTGGGATGTGCCCCCCTTTAATGGGATTACAATAGGAGGTACCAGAATCCCTGTAAAGGACTGTTAGTAGAAGGGGGAACATCCCAAGGTATAGTTCTTTAGATGTATTTGGCTGTGGCTGTCTGCAGTTCACACCCTGGCCATGGTAGAGGGCGCACTCAAGTGCAAGGTTTCATGCACGGCCGGGATTCCTGGCGATTCAGGGTTCAGAGGTTTAGGGTCTAAACCCTAAACCCTACATCCTAAACTCTAACACCAAAACCTCACACCTTAAGGTGCAGGGCTTTCAGTCTAGGATGAATATCACCAGACGCCTAGCCAGCCGAGGAGATTGCTGCCATCACTGGATCACGCCGGGGCCGAAGCCCACCAAGCTGTGAACTTTAAACCCTCCTTGATTCAAAAAATTACAAAAATAACAAAAGTGTGTGTATATATATATACTATTACATATACATTCGTACATAAACAATGTCATAAGCAATACCCACCATATCCATATACACCCCGAAGCCCTTAACCCCAAAAACTAAACCCGGCGATGATGCTTTGTAGGGCTCAGGACCTTCGCGTGCCTAATCCCTAAACCCAATCCTAAGCCCAAACCCTTACATAAGCAACTTTTCAACAACTGCTGCCAAAACCGATCGCCTTCAACTTAGAGCGGCCCCTCATTCACTTGTTCTTCCCGGTTCCTAGGGCTGCAGGGGTTGTAGGGGTTTCGGGTTTTGGAAACCCTAAACCTTAAACCCCAAACGTTTATAGGATGTAAGGCTAGGACTAGGAGGCACTTGTGTCTTTTTTTCAAGGGGGACTGCTTCCCTTAACTAAGCCCCCGAGGGCACACACTGGAGTCGAAGACGCCTTGAACTCGGTTTCGGGTTTTAGGGTTTAGGGTTTAGGGTTTAGGGTTTAGGGTTTAGGGTTTAGGGTTTAGGGTTTAGGGTTTAGGGTTTAGGGTTTAGGGTTTAGGGATTCCGCCGCTCGAAGCCCTACAGGTTTTTGGGTTTAGGGTTTAGGGTAGAAACCCTCAAGCCCCAAAGCCCCTCAAAAAGCCCTAGACCCCTAAAGCTCTCAAACCCCAACCCCCTTTATCTATATATATATATATATATATATACAAACTGAAACCCCTAAGCCTCAAAAAAGCCCTCAACCCTTAAAACCGTCAAACCTAAACGCCCCACAGCCCTTAAAACCCTTCAAGCCGTAAACCCTACCAGTGCTTCGGGAAGCTGAGTGGGGGTGCCCCTTTTGTTTGCTAAACCCTAAACCCTAAACCCTAAACCCTCAACCCTAAACCCTAAGCCCTAAACCCATCTTGTTTGCGAAGGCCGGTCACTGCGGGATGCCGCCGGATCCTTCAGATGGAGCTGCGCAATCGCTATGAGGCCATTTAGGGGCTTTAGGCTTTAGGGATTCGGTCTTCTGGAAGTTTAGGGTTTAGGGAAGTTTAGGGTTTAGGGTTTAGGGTTTAGGGTTTAGGGATTTAGGGTTTAGGGTTTAGGGTTTAGGGTTTAGGGTTTAGGGTTTAGGGTTTAGGGAAGTTTAGGGCTTAAAGAAGTTGAGGGTTTTAGGTGGTTGAGGGTTCGGGTTATGAGGGCCGAAGTCGGCTTGGGGGGCCTTCGGGTGTTCCTAAAACTTAGGGGTTTAGGGTTTAGGGTTTAGGGTTTGAGATTTAGGGGTTTTAGGGCTTTTGGGGTTTTAGGGTTTTTGTGTTTTTGGGTTTTGAGTTTTTTGGGCTTAGGGCTTGTAGGGCCTTTAGGGCTTGTACAGGGGCTTTAGGGCTGTTCAAGGGGCTTTACTTGGAGGTTCATGGTACTTATTAACCAATTAATCAACACCTGTACTCATGACCCACTTGTAAGCCCCTTAAGTGCCCTAATATGGTTATAAGTTGGGTTCGGCCGGTCCACACTAACAGTCAAATAACGCCGTGGCCTTATAACACACAGGCCAAAAATAGCACCAGGAATCCCAGTCAATTTTAGCATTTACCGGGTGCTTCTTTTTGTGGGTCTGCTGGTGGTGACTGTTAGTCACATAGCAGCAGAAATAGCACCAGAAATAGCACAAACAATAGCACAAAAAATAGCACCAGAAATAGCGCCAGGAATAGCACAAAAAAATGCACCAGAAATAGCACCAGAAATAGCACCAGGAATAGCACCAGGAATAGCAGGAATCTCAGTCAATTTTTTGGCAGTTACCGGGTGCTTTTATTTGTGGGTCTGCTGGTGGTGACTGTTAGTGTGGACCGGCCGAACCCAAGTTATAAGTACAGTCATAATTGGTTAGTACGTCCCATGAACCTCCAAGTAGGGTTTCGTGGGGCAGGTTGGGGTGCAGGGCCAAGCCCTCAACCTTAGACCCGTATCTGCAGGGGCTACTGTAGGAGTTTGCCCAGGGCTTGGGGATTGAGTTCTTGTCTGGGTTTAGGGTTTAGGGTTTAGGGTTTAGGGTTTAGGGTTTAGGGTTTAGGGTTTAGGGTTTAGGGTTTAGGGTTTAGGGTTTAGGGTTTAGGGTTTAGGGTTTAGGGTTTAGGGTTTAGGGTTTAGGGGGTTTAGGTTTAGGGTTTAGGGCCGTGGGGTCCGAAGGTTGGGGATGGATGGGTTTGGGGCTTGGGTTTTAGGGTTTAGGGTTTAGGCTGTAGGGTTGAGGGTTTAGGGATTACTTCCAGGTGGAGGGGCAATAGGGGTTCGGGGCTCTTTGCGTTTTAGAGTGTATGGTTTAGGGATTAGGGTTTAGGGTTTAGGGTTTCGGGTTTATAGGGTGGATAGGCAAAACAGGGTTGATAGGGTCTATAGGGTTTAACAGGGTTTCATAGGGTTGAAAGGGTTGAATAGGGTTGATAGGGTTTAGTGGGGTTTGTCGGGTTGATAAGATTGATAGGGTTGATGCGGTTGGTGCCCCTACTTCCGGCAACCGCCATAACCCAAAACATCCAGAACCCTAAAAGTTCAGAGTTTAGGGTTGCGGGGTTGGGGTTCCCTAAACCCTAAACCCTAAACCCTAAACCCTAAACCCTAAACCCTAAACCCCTTTTGCCCCCGTAGGAGCCACCGAGCCGGCTCCTGCGCTGTGACGCGGTCAGAAAAAAGAACTGCATCGGGAGTTTGGGGTTAAGGAGTGTGTAGGGTTTAGGGTTAAGGAGTGTTTAGGGTTTAGGGTATAGGGTTTAGGGTTGTTTTTTTTTGGATTTGGGGTTAACGTTTTAGGGTTTAGGGTTATTGGCGTTCTTTCTTGTTTTTTTCTGGGCACGGGTTCCGCGACAAGGGCGCAAGGCGGGATGTGTTTGTTTGTTGCGTTTTCGGCTTTGTTGTTCAATTACTGTTTCGGGGCTTTGGGGCCGGAGTCGGTGGGGTGGGGGGTTTAGGGTTTAGGGTTAGGGTTTAGGGTTTAGGGTTTAGGGTTTAGGGTTTAGGGTTTAGGGTTTAGGGTTTAGGGTTTAGGGTTTAGGGTTTAGGGTTTAGGGTTTAGGGTTTAGGGTTTAGGGTAGGGTTTAGGGGGATCAGGACGTTAGGACGTTGGGGTTCCATTAAGAGCACATGATGTTCAGGATGTTTCAGGTGTGGCGGTTTGGGGTCTGGGCTCTACTAGAGAAAGGCGTGCAGGCTGAAGAGTCTTTTTGGAAGAGAGTCGTCGGGTGCGTCGTGCCATGTGGCTGTTCAGGCCGGATTGTAGATGGCCCCCTAAACCCTAAACCCTAAACCCTAAGCCCTTTTCGACAACCCTAAACCCTAAACCCTAATAACAAACACGAGAGCCACGCCCTTTGCTGTAGGAGGCGGCAACCGACTTGCGCCGGCCCGCGCCATCTAGAAGCGCGCATGTAGCTGTAGGGTTTAGGATTCAGGGTTTACAGGGTTCATAGGGTTTATAGGGTTTGCAGGGTTCATATGGTTTATAGGATTTTATAGGGCTTATAGGGTTTTATAGGGTTTGCAGGGTTTATAGGGCTTATAGGGTTTATAGGGCTTATAGGGTTTTATAGGGTTTCATAGGGTTTGTAGGGTTTATAGGGTTAATAGGGTTTAGAGGGTTTATAGGGTTTAGGGTCTGAATCTACTCACCCTACACCCTTAACCCTTCTAACCCTCGCACCAGATCAGGTTCCTTGGGCCCTCAGTACCCTGCATCTCGTACCCCGGCTGTGACTCATGGACGACATTGCATCCGAGGTGTTCAAGATTCTGAGCCCATGGCATCCGAAGCCCTCCACTTCTAAAGCCCTAAAGTCGAAACAAAAATCAAGGCCTTAAACCCGAAAACAAAAAAAACGTCCGAACGATCCTTCATGGCACAAAAACCGTCAAAACCCCTAAGCCCTAAACCCTTAAAACCCTCAAAACCCCTAAGCCCTAAACCCTTAAAAAAGGCTCGGAAAGCGCCTCGAAGACGCAAATTGAAGCATACGCCGACCGAGTGCTAAGCTGGACAGCCTGAACCCGCCTAAAAACACTAAAGTCCTAAAGCCGTAAAGCGAAAACACCCTGAGCTCTCCTAAATTTAAGAGCCTCCGGCTCAAGCCGCCGACCCCGCAGGAGAACAAGTTTAAGGCTTGGGGTTTGGTGATTTTGTTTGCGGTTCCTGTTGGGGGGGGGGGGGTGGCGTGGGGGGGGTGGGGGGGTGGGAGGGGGGGGGGTGTTGGAGGGTTGGGGTAAGGGGGGAGGGGGGGGTAGGGGGGGGCGGGGTGGGGGGGGGGGGGGGGGTCATAGGGGGGGGGTAGGGGTAGGGGGGGGGGAAGGGGGGGTAGGGGGGGAGCCGAAATAGGGGTTTTTTCCAAAAGAGCCCCTATGCCCTGTGCGAAAACGCCTATAGTCCATGAGTTTACGCGGTGTGGGTGGCCTGTTCCTCCACGGAAAAGCTGGCGGGGTACCCCCCCCTACCACCCCCCCACGTTTTGGGGTCAGGAGGGAAAGAGGGGCTCCTTGTCCCATCCAACACGCCGCCAGGGTCGGCGGACCCTAAAGCCTAAACCCTAAACCCTAAACCCTAAACCCTAAACCCTAACCCCAAAACCCTAAACCCTAAACCCTAAACCCTAAACCCTAAACCCTAAACCCTAAACCCTAAACCCTAAACCCTAAACCCTAAACCCTAAACCCAAGCCCCTAAACCCCAAGCCCTAATCCCTCCGCCCTAAGCCCTGCCTCTCCTTCTCGACCGCCTGCGTCCGCTGCAACGGCGTCGGCGCCCTTGGCGCGCGATGGGCGGCGCGCCGCGGGAGGCAATTTAGGGTTTAGGGTTTAGGGTTTAGGGTTTAGGGTTTAGGGTGTAGGGTTTAGGGTTTTAGGGTTTTAGGGTTTTAGGGTTTTAGGGTTTTAGGGTTTTAGGGTTTGGGGTTTAGGGTTTAGGGTTTAGGGTTTAGGCTAATTTCTTGGGTTGGGGGTTAAACCCTAGCCCTAGGCCCTCAAGGGTGGAAGGTTGACACAGGTCGCAACATCCCTACTCACGTGTACCCTAAGCCCTAAACCCTAAGCTCCTTGGTAGCCAAGTGGTAACCTTTTCCTTTTTTTGGGTTCTGGGTTCCCTCATAAAGTACCCAACCAAAAAAAGGCTGCTAAGGCTCTAAACCCTATGTAAACCTCCAAGGGTTGAGGGTTGAGGGTTTAGTGATTGGGGGTTGTTGGGGGTTTAGGGTAGCTAGTCTGCGGGTGTTTCAGGATTTCGGTTTCGGGGCGAGGTTTTGTATAGTGTTGGGTCAAGGGCTTATATAAGGGCTTACTCTAAGCCTTATAGATTCTACAGCAAGCGAACTCCAAAAAATGGGAACATCCTTCTCCCCATACCCCAAAGGGTATACTAAAGGGAATTCCAGCTCTAATCATCCTTAAACCATGTCCCAACTTTCTGGAGCCTGCCGTAAACCTGGGATCTTGTTTGGCATCCCTGCTCTGTTTCCGTGAACCCTAAACCCTAAACCCTAAACCCTAAACCCTAAACCTTATAAACCCTAAACCCCAAAAAGCCTAGGCCCTAAAGCCCAAACGCAAACAGTCCCGGCCGATGTCGTGGGAGATCACAGGCGCCACACCATGGCCTCCTTCTACCCCGTGAAGAAAGAAGGCGCCACACACGGTTTAGGGTTTAGGGTTTAGGGTTTAGTGTTTAGGGCTTTTGGGGGTCTACATGGGTTTACAGAAGGGTTTGTAAGGTTTCCCCTGGCCCTGGCCCCCTCAACTACCCTACACTGGAAACCTCCACCAACGGATTTTGGGGTTTTGTGCGTCCGTCAGGTTCACCCTAGGGGTCCACGTTTCTATACAGTTTGTACTTGGGCTCTAAAACCATTATATAGTAACCCCTTCAAGGCTCCAAGTATACACCATATAGGTACACGGACCCTTAGAGGTTCTCCTCAGTGTTCAGGATTTGTTGGTGAGGTTGG